GAGTTTTTGGTCGCAATTTTGCCGCTTTTCCGTCCTTCACTGCCATGGTGTTTTCCCATCCGGGAGCTGTCTTTTGAACTTTTGAACAGAAGGAGCAGCAAGAGCAGGAGCAGCAGCAGCAGAAGGAAAAAGTAACTAAAAAACAATCCTTTTCTATGGGTTTCAGAAGTTACATTAGGCACTTTTTGGTCGCAATGTTGATGCTTTTCCGTCCTTCAGGGCCCTGCTGTTTGAGCGTGGCGGAGGCACCGTTTCTGAGCTTGGAAATTCCCATCCGGGAGCTATCTTTTGAACAGAAGGAGTAGCAAGAGCAGCAGCAGCAGCAGCAGCAGCAGCAGAAGGAAAAAGTAATAACTAAAAAATAATCCTTTTCTATGGGTTTCAGAAGTTACATTCGGCACTTTTTGGTCGCAATTTTGATGCTTTTCCGTCCTTCAGGGCCCTGCTGTTTGAGCGTGGCGGAGGCGCCGTTTCTGAGCTTGGAAATTCCCATCCGGGAGCTGTCTTTTGAACAGAAGGAGTAGCAAGAGCAGGAGCAGCAGCAGCAGCAGCAGGAGGAAAAAGTAGCTGAAAAATCATCCTTTTCTATGGGTTTCAGAAGTTACATTAGGCAGTATCATCCTTTTCTATGGGTTTCAGAAATTACATTAGGGAGTTTTTGGTCGCAATTTTGATGCTTTTCCGTCCTTCAGGGCCCTGCTGTTTGAGCGTGGCGGAGGCGCCGTTTCTGAGCTTGGAAATTAGGGAGTTTTTGGTCGCAATTTTGACGCTTTTCCGTCCTTCACTGCCATGGTGTTTTCCCATCCGGGAGCTGTCTTTTGAATCCCATCCGGGAGCTGTCTTTTGAACAGAAGGAGCAGCAAGAGCAGGAGCAGCAGCAGCAGAAGGAAAAAGTAACTAAAAAATAATCCTTGTCTATGGGTTTCAGAAGTTACATTAGGCACTTTTTGGTCGCAATTTTGATGCTTTTCCGTCCTTCAGGGCCCTGCTGTTTGAGCGTGGCGGAGGCGCCGTTTCTGAGCTTGGAAATTCCCATCCGGGAGCTATCTTTTGAACAGAAGGAGCAGCAAGAGCAGGAGCAGCAGCAGCAGAAGGAAAAAGTAACTAAAAAATAACCCTTTTCTATGGGTTTCAGAAGTTACATTATGCCTTTTTTGGTCGCAATTTTGATGCTTTTCCGTCCTTCAGGGCCCTGCTGTTTGAGCATTAGGGAGTTTTTGGTCGCAATTTTGATGCTTTTCCGTCCTTCAGGGCCCTGCTGTTTGAGCGTGGCGGAGGCGCCGTTTCTGAGCTTGGAAATCTGAGCTTGGAAATTAAGGAGTTTTTGGTCGCAATTTTGACGCTTTTCCGTCCTTCACTGCCATGGTGTTTTCCCATCCGGGAGCTGTCTTTTGAACAGAAGGAGCAGCAAGAGCAGGAGCAGCAGCAGCAGAAGGAAAAAGTAACTAAAAAATAATCCTTTTCTATGGGATCCTCTTGGGAATTCACCTAAAGGGTTGAGGTGTCTGATTCTATAGGTACAAAATCAGGACCCCCAAGAAAAAAATGTCTTTTTCTATATATAATCAGGACCCCCAAGAAGAACTCAACTGTACAAAATCGAGGCCTCCAAGGTTCAGTTTGTGTGAAATTTTAAGTAAAAAAAGGGTCTACATTCTACATTGGGTAGGCTGGGTTGGCTACAGAATCAAGAGCCCCAAGCTTAAACATCAGAAATTTAAGCAAATTTAAGTAAAACCAACCCACTTCTGTCTGACAATGTAGTTGAGACCCCAAAGTCTGTACAGCCTGATCTTGTTTTTTGAAGGGGGTGCAGTCCCTGATTTTATAGCTCAAAAATTAGGGTCGGTGAGGTTCGAGCTAGTGACTTTTGGGGGTACAGTCCCTGATTATATAATGATACCAAGTATTACCAAATGGTTGCCTGATCATATTGTTTTGCACAAGACCCTAATTGTATACAGGACCCTGTCAGTGTTTGTTTTTAAGTGTTTTCTTATGTTTTTGTTTATGCGTTTTTCTATGATTTTCTTTGAATAAAAATACAGCAAATTCCATAAGAATCCATAAGATTCCAGAAAATTCCAAAAGTTTAAAATAAAATATATAAAAATATTATATATATATATAATTCGATAATATTCTATATGTATACATCTGTGTAAAATCAAGACCCCCAAGCCTCACAGTAGAAAAATAGGAACAAGGGCTTGATTTTAGGGTGTATTTGAGCATAGTACAAAGATTGAACCCCAAGCCTTGCCTCGAGTCTAGCATAAAATGGAAATCAATATAAAATAAGAACCCCCAACACCATATGCACCAAGCTAGCCCTAGTATAAAACGTAGACCTCCAAGCTCGAGTTTGACACCCTGAGACCTGTATAGAATCACAACCCTCCCAGTGGAGCCCAACCACAGAGGGAAACCCCTGTATAAAATGAACCTGTTTTTGGAGCTCAACCCCCCTGATTTTGTACAGCTATATCCCAGGGGGATTCTATGGGTTTCAGAAGTTACATTAGGCACTTTTTGGTCGCAATTTTGATGCTTTTCCGTCCTTCAGGGCCCTGCTGTTTGAGCGTGGCGGAGGCGCCGTTTCTGAACTGTTTTTGGTCGCAATTTTGATGCTTTTCCGTCCTTCAGGGCCCTGCTGTTTGAGCGTGGCGGAGGCGCCGTTTCTGAGCTTGGAAATTAGGGAGTTTTTGGTGCTTTTCCGTCCTTCACTGCCATGGTGTTTTCCCATCCGGGAGCTGTCTTTTGAACAGAAGGAGCAGCAAGAGCAGGAGCAGCAGCAGCAGAAGGAAAAAGTAGCTAAAAAATCATCCTTTTCTATGGGTTTCAGAAGTTACATTAGGGAGTTTTTGGTCGCAATTTTGAGCCTTTTCCGTCCTTCAGGGCCCTGCTGTTTGAGCGTGGCGGAGGCGCCGTTTCTTTGAACAGAAGGAGTAGCAAGAGGAGGAGCAGCAGCAGCAGGAGGAAAAAGTAGCTAAAAAATCATCCTTTTCTATGGGTTTCAGAAGTTACATTCGGGAGTTTTTGGTCGCAATTTTGATGCTTTTCCTGCTGTTTGAGCGTGGCGGAGGCGCCGTTTCTGCGCTTGGAAAGCTAGAAGATGGCTACTTTTCGTGTAATTTGGGAAAGCAACGTTAGGCCGCTGGGGCCGTTGCTGGCAGGCCCAGTCCGTCCTTCAGGGCCTTGCTGTTTATAGGTTCAGAAAGCAACGTTAGGCAGTAGGGGCCGTTGCTGGCAGGCCCGGTCTGTCCTTCAGGGCCCTGCTGTTTGGGCGTGGCGGAGGCGCCGTTTCTAAGCTTGGAAAGCTGGAAAACGGCTACTTTTCTTGTAGGTTCAGACAGTAATGTGGGGCATTGCCGTGCTGTGTGGCAACCTTAAGCTGGAAACTTCATCAGGTCTGCACGCGCCACTGGTTGGTGCGACACTGCCGGCCGCTGGGATTGCGATGCGTTACCCGAATTTGGCCGGAAGCCAGTGTTGAGTGCACCACCGTGCCGCATGTTGGACATGCATGCGAGTATGTGCGGCCTGCGAGCAGGCCATTGGCAACGCGAAATTGTTTGCCGCAGCCCTTACTGCGGCGGTGATCGACGCGCCCGGTTGCCACAGGGCTTTGTACAGACTTGGCACAGTACGGGCAGATGTATGTGTGCAGTTGTGGCGGTGCTGTGTTGGGCCCTACAGCACGCGGCTGGGTCGATGAATGGATCGCATCCATTTTTTGACCGGTAGCAACCTCATTTGTAGTTTTCTCTTCGCACGTCAGCGCCGCCGCAACTGTTTTTTCCCTACTGCTTGCCTGCAAGAGGCCGGCCGACGCCATGTCAGCAGAGCGCATTTCCACGGGATCTGTCGAATGATCATGTGTGCGTGCTTTCTTGTTTGCAGCGATTGCTTCCCATGTCTCCTGGATAATGTGCCTGCGGCGAATTCTTTTCCGGAGGGGCTCTAGGCGAGCTGCACTGGAAGCAGCAGCGCGCTTACGGACTGCATGCTGCAATTTCGCAGCATGGCATGCGTCGCATATCTGCGTTCCATTTTCGCCAGAGGGCCGCCTGGAAATAAAGTTCGAAAAGTGGTGCCGCGACCGCCGCTGGTGGCAGACCGCGCATTTCCAAGAGCCGCGGGTCTTGGTCTGGCATTGCAAACACAATCGACGTTTGGGATCCCGCGTTTGCCAAGCTACATGGCTAAAGTATTCTTTCGTCTGCTTTGTCTGGCATAAAAAACATTGCTTTTTTGCATCACACGACAGACAAACGCGATACATGCTCCATCGCCAGTCAGCATCCATTCTTTTGCTTTCAAACAACTCTTTATGATTCACTGATGTGCCTTTCCCGTGCGAAGACTATGTCTCGCGCACGGGGAGGAGGACACACCACCCCCGAAAAACGGAAAGCAAAAGGATGGATGCTTGAGCTTCATGGCAGGGATAGGGACTAGCAAAATTTCAATTCAACACACAAGTATATACTATTTGATGCATATATATATATAATGTATATATAAAGCATCCAGGCTGACAACTCACAGAACACTCGAATGAAGCCAGCTTTCTCTTTTCCGGGGTCGGCGGCAGGGGCGGCAGCCCTTAAATATGGTCAGTTTTCAGTGTTGCTCTTTGTTGTTCTTGTGTTCTTTCACGCATGCGTACTATTTTTTGCGTATGTTCTATCAATTCGTTTGGCTTTCCCACCCTATGTATATATTATATAATATAATATACTATATATTATACTCTATACACATGCAACTCATATTATTAATATACGGAACAGTACTTGTGTCTGTGTGTCTACCTGTTTACCTGCTCACCTATCCAGGCCATACATGCAACCAGTGATATCGTTCTCCATCTGCTTTGCTCTTGCATCAGTACAGTTGATTCTTGTCCACATCAGAATCTTGCGAGTTCGTCTCTGCGACAGTAGAAACAATCAAATGTGCATAATGTGCCAGCAGGAAGCGTCACCAGCCAGCCTCCTTCCATTTGCTGCCATGGTTGATGACCAAGTTTTGCTTCACCTTGACATTTCCGCAATGTTTCTGGCTCACCTCCAAGCGAAGCAGTCGGATAAGCATGTCTTCATGATCTGGATCCCAAATTACGACATTTATAACGGTTATATAACGTGCATGGCAGGTCGATGATTTCATGGGACAAGCTTTAGGTACAGTGCATGATATGGTACTCCTGCAAGCCACCATCTCCCAAACTCGCTGTCAGCATTTCAGATGCGTGCACCTTCTCTCCATTGACTAAGGCATCTGAATCATCACTGCTGGCACAAACAACGACCCAATCCTCACGGTCGAGATTATCCGGTGTTTCCTGCCACAGAGTCCAGACGCATCATAGTTGGCCATCAGCAGTGTGGAATCCCTTGGATATAGGGAACATTATGGAACTATGGGACTTAGCATCATGAGAAGTCAGACACTTTGACCCCAAAATTATTGTAGTGCCCGCCAAAACATGATAAATCATTCATGTCACTTGTAAGACACATTGGCCCCACAGTCTAGAGTCTAAAGACTCATTTCGTAAGCTGCTGTTTTTCCAAATCGCTTGGATCCAATGCAAATCCTTAGCCGTTAGAGTCCTGAGCAGCACACGAAACGCCTGTGTTCTTCTTGGATTGACCATGGAGCCAATTCTCTTGAGAACCCTGCAGAATGCGGCCATAGGGTTCTCCAGTGTAACGCGTCACGGAGCAAATGGTGTAGGTCTCAGCTAGAACCTGCCAGCAAGGAATAGATCTTGAGAATTGCCTGTTTAAGCCTTCCAGCATCAAAAACCATAGCTTACACAAGCCGCATTGATCACAAATTGGACTCAGACCCAAGACAGCACCGCTGCACAATCTGCATATGTTCAGGGGATGGTTGGCGCCTCCCCGAAGTCGAATCTCGTTTTCTCATCGCCGCGGAGGAACTTCACGTTCTGCTTGGCACCGTGACCCACCTCCAAAGATGCTTCGGCCTGGCGGCCCGAGTCCGTGCTGAAGTGATACAAAATCCATGGCAATTGCCTACAATATTCTATATTCTATACAATCAACTCAATTTTCTAGTTTGCTTTCTGATCCGACTAGGCTCAAGAGGTCTCAAGAGGCAACTTATTTCGGTAGACCCATCTCCAACACCTTCGTTCGATGTTCAACCTCCCATTTGCCGCCCGCCTTGTTACCCACCACCTTGCCCTCGTGCGATCCAACTACACTGGGCCATGGCATTGCAGCTTCTTCAGCCTTAAACCATGCTACACAGCCATCTAAGGTGATGGGCGCTGGCTCGTTGTACTGGTGTTCATAATCCTCCGCATCGTAGGGATCCACCTGGCACGGGCCGGGGCACTGTGGCGAGAGGGGCCGTGAAAATTTTAGAAGATGTCGCTTCATTCTGCCCTTCCGACTGAACAATTTACTGTACATCAATTTACATAAATTTACAGCAAATATACCATACTTGGACCAGAATTGCAATACAATTGACCCACCACCGTCCAATGTTGGAAGCCTCAGCGTCCTTCAATCGTGCACTTGCGCCATCGCTCAGCTCAGCGGCTGCCGAGGCATCTGCCGATCGAACCAAGGCCACACAGCCCGTGCAGAAGAAAGGCAGCAACCACCACCTGGCCCAGTGGCCCAGTGCCATGTGGAGATCCCCCGTGGGACCCCAAAAGAATAGATCTACCGAATCAGGGGGACAACGGGGGGTAAACAGCGAAAATTCCACTGTGGGCCACTGATGCCACAAGTGTGGACATCTGTCAAACTGCTTTGCGACATGAAGAGATCTCCACGGAACTCAACCAATTTGTCGGGGTTTTCGAGCACTTGCACTCTGACTATGGAGAGCTTGGGCACCACTGGCATGCCATGCCTGACACAGGAAGGTCTCATCATCACCATCACGGTATTCCGATGCAAAGTACCTTAGACAGCAGAGAATAGTCACCAAACGATTTGGGATCACGTGTCCCAACAGACATCAGTTTGATCTGCAAGCACCACAGCTGCCTGTGGTATTCATCTTGCGGACCAGCAATGGTTGACCAGTCATAGTGTCGCAAAACCTATTGGAAGAAGCAGAAACAGGTCTGGACCGGTTCGGTAACATTTACCATCATTTACGCATAGATTGTCCGATGGACCATGGAGAGTTCAAAAAAACGGAAGACAGTCCATTGATCGGAACCAAGTAAGGAGAACTATCAAAAGGGATAAAACATCCTTCCCCTATGCTGCTCAGGTGCAAAGAAAATGTCACAAACAAAGGTGGCTGTAGCGCAGGTCACCTCGGTGTGTCAAGGGATCAAGATGGTCAAGGTAATCCATTCGTATTTTGTCCGCAATGCTTGTGGTTCATGGGCAACTCCCAAACACATTCACAAATGACATGGGTCATTAAATGTCCCCATTGAACATCACCCAACCATTAGGTATATGGTCTATAATGGCTACTATAAGGTGATGTCCAATATTCCCAAAATGGGACAGTTTCCAACCCCTGAATGATAAGGCAAATAAATCACAATGCTGTAAACTGCTGAAATGGGACAAGCTTTAGCAAGGGTTGACATGGATTGACCTATGAACTCCAAAGCCGTCTTGCAACATTCTGGAAGCGCGTCTTGTTTGATGCTTTTGCTTCTCTGCTCAGGACCGGGGAGGGTGCCGGAGTGGCCAAGTACGAAAGTTGAATGTGTTCCGAATCCCGACTAGAATCCTAGCCTAACACTCCTACAGTAACACCAACACCCAATGAAATGTTAACATGCCATGACAACATGCCGTGACCGTATGGGAAAGTTTTCTAGGAGTCTCTACTTCTGAGCCCCCTGGCGGTCATGGGGGCTCCGCAGGCCCGCGTCACACCCCACAAAGGTCTTGCGCGCCCCACGTGGCACACTTCTAAGCGCGCCACGATTGGCTTTGAGCCACCGACGGCAATTAAGCATGGATCAGCCCCTCCAAAGTGAAAAACATATGTAAAAAAAAAGAGCCGAGAAAACTCGAAGACCACATGGGCCCATGCATTGTTCCTTCCCAACCCCAAGGCAACCTCAAAAAGGCAACCAACAAAAACAACATCAAAGTGAAGATCTGATCACCAAATTAACCACCTCATAACATCCCAGGTTCCAGCCGCTTCCAGCCTGTATGAGGCGGTCACGCTCTACCACAGAGGCCTCCACGAAACACCAGGTCTTCTCTCTGCCATCGACCTGGCACCTGCAGCTGAAGCGCCTACGTGCACATCACCCCAATGCAGCATAAATTGGCACCTGACTGCAGTGCCGTGGTGAGATTCCCATGCCTAGGAGGCGGCAAAAAGGATAATCTTGAAATCTGCTGATTGAAATTCCAGAAGTCCAAGCTATCTGTGCCATGGATAATTCTTGACTGGGGTCGAACCATTGGAAATTTGACATGACATACAGGCATACAGTATATTGTCGCCAGCAACATGAATCTTGCATACATGTATAGACTGATGAACAACTATGAACAACTATCATATGTGGCCAAGAACATCTCAAACTCAGCATCAACCTAGCAATTTCATTTTGTAGCTCGAAATATTCTCGCAATCCAACATCCAACACCAAGAAAAATGCCCATGTGCCAAGTTGACTTGGTGCATCCAGACCCAGCCATCACCAAAATCCCTGGGTCCACCGGGCTCCAACTCGGATTGAATCCGCGTTGGTGGCTGATGACCTCATCCTGCGATTTTTCTTGGGTGGCAACTCATTCCCAACTCACTGGGGTCGCAAGTGGATTATGCCCTTGCCAGCAATAAAAAAAACTGCACAGATAGTTTGGAACCAACTCCTTAACCTTTTTAGAGATGTGATGCTCTTCAGAAACGTCTCCTGCACAAAAGCAGCCCAGTTGACTCAACGGTGCCAGGGCTTCTGGTGCTCCCCCGCATCCGACCCCTTTCACGATCTACAGCAACCCGCCCGCCCCCAAACTCGCAGCAGTGTCGCCCGTTTTGCGCGCTATCTACGGTGCTAACACGGACCTCTGCATCTGCATCAGCTTCAAACGCCCTAGCACTACATCCACAAACGATGCCAGAAAGCCACAGCCCCCAAGCCAGTGTTCAAAGCCTGGCCCTCAACCACGATTTGAAGCAATTCCAGGGGTGAGCATCCTTTCTCGCGAGGAACTGCAAAAGTCTCTTCCAGTAGAGGAAGATCTGATTCTGGTGTTGCCTGCAAATGTCCAAAAATCAGTTCAAACCATTTATCTCACAGGGGTCACGCTAAGAATCCAGATATACAAATATTAGCTGAAGATAAAAGTAAATAATATATACTATTGGGACTGTAGATAATATATACCCAAAAGAAAGTTTCAACCTTCTCAAATCGTAGCTACTGGTCTTCCACATTCACATGAAGACCACGTCTTTCTGCGCCGCATGCCCACTGGACGAGAGCATAAACATGCGGGAGTCATGGGATGGCACACCCTTGGCCACAAAAGTTCCATCATGCTCACCGAGATCAGAATGAACCTTGGCTGCTCTGTTGGATGCTAAGCCCACGATTTCGTGGCAAAGCTGTTTTGTGTTTTTTTTTTCCAGGAAGAGTATGAGAAAAGTGGCAAAAATGTCGCAAGGCATCTGCCTGCCCTCCTGATGTTTGAACCTTTACCACATTTTGCTGAAATCTGAAATGGAGCTGATGGTGTGGCACACCTCCTCCTGACCCACACAACACCTGGATAACCTCAACGCCGCTTCCACCCTGTGCGCCAAGCCACATACAAGCACCGCACCTTGCACTTCTGGCAGGAGAGGCCCGGGACATCGGAAAAGGTCAAAGTCAAATCTTGTGCCTGAGGTTCGGGGCAGAGTGAGGCTGCTGGAACAAGCACTGGGTTGATTGAAGGGAGGCTTTAGAGGAAACCAGTATAGTTCTCAATGCAATAACATTAAGATATCAAATCAATTCAAATCATATCTACTCAATGTAGGGGGTCCTAGAAGTTTCCCCTGAAACTAACTCTTGGAGATACATCGTGACAAAGGAGCATCCTTGCCCCTTGGCACCTTGGAGTCATGATTCATCAACAAAACGACAATCTTTCCTCCGCCCATCGGTTTGTAGAAGAACTGCCAGCTTGGCACCTGAAAAATCCGGAAGGCGGATGAAGGCAGTCATCCTACTGGGTCCTCTGAAATGCAACAGTCTGATAAAGTCCATATCTTTTTCTCAACATCTTGTAAATCTTAAGCATTCAATTCCTTTTCCCTTGGCCGATACCTGTAGGTTGACTTGCCAAACCAACCTCCTTCACGTGAACATGTTCAAAATGCTGGCTCCACACCACCCCATTTGCCCACGACTGAACCTGGCTGTTGTGAGGGATGATCGCCCCCTTCATCTCCATGTTAAAGTCAGTGAGCTGGACATAAGAATCCGCTTGCTTGAAAGGACTCCCACTATGACCTGCCCATGCCTGGTTCACTGCAATGATTTCCTGAGCTGTGAGCTGTCCAATCAACCCAGGGAGATGTTCTGTGTGTTCCATTTCAAAATCCTGAAATCATTCAGCACCATTGAGCACATGATAGCAGCTGATAGCGGGCCAGGGTGGCTCGGAGAGCCCCGGCCCGCCCCGGCCCACCTTGTTGGAGATGATCTCCCACACCGCGTCCATCACGGTGTCGTTGTTCACATCCAGCGACAAGGTCAGTGGCGAGGAGACGATGGCCCAGGCGCTGAAGTGGGAACGCGCTTCGAAGAAGGTCAAACCTGGTGGCTAAGCCAAAGCTGGTGAAAGAAAGATCGGGAATGGGTGAAAATAGATGAAAATCAGATGAAAATGACATAAAATGACCATTTTACAAACTTCTATCAACTTCTATCTAAATTTGGGGGGTTACGATGAAAAGCACCCAAGGGACTGGTATGGTATAAACGTATAAATCAATGGTTTCAAAAAAGTTGGCTGGTATAAACCCACTTGATGACCACGCCCATGGATTGTTGGATTGGTTGGTTCTGACCAAACCTGGTGGGTACAAGTGGCCACACCGATGGATCACCCAATAAAATCAGGCACTCCGTATTGGCCGATGCATTAAGCAACGGATGTATGGCACCGTAATGGGGACACCACTTGGGTCACCAGAAATTTTCGCGGCACCATGGATGGCATCATCGTTGGTCCATCATTCTCAGCATTCACATCATTCACCAGGAATTTTTACATCACTTGTACATGATTCATATCACCAGTACCACATAGTACCACTAGATCTCAACATGATTCCTGGATGTTGGATATTGTTCGTGCCTGGATCGCCGGCGCCACCAGGGCCATGTTGGCAACCCACCTGCGGAGACACACAAAAATCTTCCTGGATTTTTCAGGCATGATGTTTTGTCAACATACACAGAGATTGGGGGGTCTGAAAAAATTGAAAAATTGGTTGACACTTCATAGAGATTCATGTTCATGGGGAACAACAAACTTCAGACTTTTCCACCCAGCACATATGCCACATCGCTCCGCCAGTGCACCTCCAACATGTCTGGATAGGCCCAACAGCCAGGCTTCGACAAGTTCTTCTGTGCCCATTCGACGGTGGTCAACAGGTTGCCCACAATGCTACCATAGGAGGCCCGCACGTCTCCAGAGGTCCTGATCATCACTGATTGCAAACGGCAGAAACGCATCTCTCCATATCTCTCCATATCTCTCTACAGTTAAGTGGATTTTTTCAGGTCGGATGGAGTCGGATCAAAAACAGACTTTCCGATCTTTGAGACCCCTTGACTTAGAGAAGAACCCGCGATTTCTTGTCGCCCATTCTTGATGCCCATCACCCGCACTTGGCCTGAAGAAATTCCAGGGGCACCAAGTGGCATTGGGCACAGTGCCGCCCCAATGACAGTTCTCAATCATGATGGGTCGGCCCGTCTTGTTGAATAGGTCTGCCCATTTGTCCAAATCCTGGTGGGACTGTGAAAACCATGTCATGGCATCTCGTATCCCGGTGACCGGGAAATCTCACGTCTGGTGAATCATTGCGGATCATTACGAATCATTGCGGATCAGATAGGCAAAGTACCAAAGAAACTCAAAATATCTCAGACTCGATCTGTTTGAAAATAGGCTAATTATCAAACCCCACTGGTTCATCATCATTTTACCGTCATTTTCCCTGCAATGGCCATTTGATGTGCAGCACCTGCTGCTGGCCACAGCCGTCCAACTTCACAGCATCGAAGCCGAAGACAGTCAGTGCTGCTACGTCACTTTGATACCTGGGGAAGGCTCTGGGGATCATGATTTTTCCGTAATGGTGCATTATCTGGGGATCATTATTATCTGCTCTGGTATCTCGTTTCATGGCTATTTCGGGGCATCCACAAGGTTTTTTTTTGCTGTTTTTGGACAAAGTCTGGTGCGGGGACGGTCAAGGGGAACTATGGGCTGGTGATCTGCACAAGAAACAATGTAGACAGGGAAAATGGATGTGAAAAAAATTAGATGATGGATATTATACATGAATCCCTCCAAAACAACCACGACATGCAAAATGCCTCGTATCCATCATCCATGTTGCATTCTGGCCGCGGTTTGGATGGTTTTCACATTGTTGCAGGGCTACCCCCCCCAGCTTTGACGAGCTGCATGGAATCGGTGGCTGCCTGCTCTGAGCAGATGCAGTTGTTCAGGTACCACCCAGAGGTCAAGTTCAACCTGGTTGCGCGGAACCCGATGATATCCAAACAGAAAGCCTACAAGGAGATCGTGCCGCCACATCTGGCATCTTGGGTTGCTTCTGATATGTCACGCTTTGTGAAAGCAAAACACAATGGGGTTAGTTGGTAAACTGTTTTCAAATGACAAGCATCTGTTGCAAAATTATTGCAAGCGCAAAGAAAAAACATCTGCTGCGAGACCAGGAGCTGGTGGGCATGTGACGTCATTGTGATCATATCAGGGAAGCGCTCCCTGTTGATAATTGGAATGCCAGCATCATCATGGTAGTGATACTGGTGCCCACCCTTGCAATCCTGCCAATTATCATCCAATCCCACATCACAAAAGCCCAGGTCGCACAGGGAGGTGGGAACTCCATCCACTTTACGCTTCTTGGACACCATTCCATCCATGATGCGTTGCATCAAAGATTGATTCCTAGTTGGACGTTGAGCCATCCCCTGACAAATCGGAGTTTTGGGGGATCCCATTCTTTGAGAAGATGAACAAAATACTTGAAAGCGCCAGCTACATATATTGGTTATATGATATTGATTCATATTGAATTGTTTGAATATCATTCAATGCTGTCCTTCATCCTAAAACATATGTAAAGGTGTGTGTGTGTGTGTTTGTGTGTTTGTAGTAAATTCGATGTAATTCCACCCAGATTCACATTTGCTCCATACAAATTCCACGATCGCCATCCCATAGGTGGAGCCCGTCCCAGGCCATTGTCAATCGCACCGACCACGGCAAGGAAGGCGCACAGCAACAGCTGCAGCGCCATCGGAAAAGGAAGGACGTCTCCCTGGAAAAACACCAGAAATTGGGAAAAGGAGGCAAAACTCTCCTCAAGATTTGAGCCAATGCCTCACATTTGAAGTGTTCTGAAGCTCAGCTTCATTTCGGAAGTCCCAAGGGGCCAATGGAAGGTGGCGGATCAGCAACGCTGCGCAACCGCGCAACTCCTGGAAGTGCTGTTCGAGGCTTCCATCGTCCGTATCTTCAACCTGCACAGCTGCCCAGCTTCGCCCAGTGCTGGACAGTCTGCATCTTGCTTTCGGATGTTGGCGTTGCCCCAGATTGGAAACATTTAGAAAATTGGAAATTACAAAAAAGACACCTGGAGATCCTGAAAGGACTGTTCCGCAAACGCGGAAAAGCACTTTTGGACTCACTAGAGACTTGCACCATTAGTTGAATGGACTTCGCTTGCCTTGTTCCCCCCGGCTGTCATCCTGTACATCTAGGGGATTCTGGGGGTTCAAACTGAACGAACGAGTTCCTTTAATGAGTTGGAAATCACGTTTCATGAAACTCAAGTCGCCCAATGTCAAATGTTGTGTCAATTTCGGGAGAGAAGTGTAGCGATTGTGAGAAGAAATTGTGAGATGAAAACAACAAATGACTTTATGACAGCGTTTTCCAGACCTGCAAGCAACCTTCTTCCCATCCTGCCTTCAAGGAGAGAACTTGGAGAGGACGATTCAAATGCAAAGTGGTCGTAGACTTATTCCTTTCCATACAACAGAAAGTTTCAGCCAACTCATGGCAGCCCCAATCATTTCAAAGCTTGAGACTGTGGAGATAGAGGCTGGGGAACCCCACCCCTCAGGTTGAAAAAAGACTCGGGCAACCTGGCGATCCCAACGAGTGACATACCCAACTGGCTAGGAAAAAATCAGATGTAAACAAGAACTGGCGAGTTTTTTTTGTTGGTAAGCCGCTTATCTTGGAGAACACGCACACGGTAGATCAAACCCGTAATCAAAGACTTGGCCTTGCCACTGTCTGAGATGAGTTTCTATCTCCAAATGTCAAATGAATCGCTGCCTACCTAACTAAAACCGCACGCCGTCTGTGTTTCATATTCCCACCAAAAGGAGCACATTGCATCTGCATTTCACTGGCCGACCCACTAAAGAGCAAATGAGACATTGAAACCGACCTCCCACAGGCACAGTCTCGATATTCCCGCCCTGCCTTTGTGTGTGGCTTGTGACACAAAGTCTTTGCAACTCTCAACTACGTAGTTTCTGGCCTCAGATCAGTCAATGCATGAGAATTGTGGCAGTTGCTGCTTTCATCAACCAATCTAGATTTCGGTCACTCTTGTGCGCTGAAGTTTAGCAGGGTTCAACTACTTATTGAGCCTTCCAGGGACCACTTCCCCTTCCATTTCCAGCTCGGCTGCCGCTGGGAAAATATCAAACCATCAAACCACTATTGCGAAGGCAAAGGGACTCCGAAGTGTTTTACTCAGCTAAAATCCATGGTCAAATCCATGGTTTCGATTGCTGCTGAGGTGCTTTTGGAATAACCTTTTTGAGGTCAGAGCATCTGGAGCAGAATCCACCTCAATATTCGTTTGGACGTCAAAGTTGGAACCCCACAAGGTCAAAAATACCATCAATCGAGGTAACAAACAATAAAACCTGACCGCTTACCAGACAAAGGTGAGTTGCCACATTTCGTTTATTTCACCGTTTGTGCATTCATCGGGGCATCATGTTTGCCGTTTTGCCGTTTTCCGCTCTTTTATCTCTTTTCTCGCATTTTTCCCACTGCACCTTTGTTTACAAAGTGGGAATAGTTTTGGCGGCGCTATATGACTAGTTTGTCAAGGTTTGTCAACATGAAGAAATTTGTGCAAAACACTAGTGAAATCGGTGATCACCCGCAATCAACTGGGAAGCATGGGCGAACAAACCGAAGATTTTCATGGTCAGCCCATTGTGCCAAGGCGCCAAACGAAGCACTCGTGAATTTGCCATGATCTGCAGACCATCGGCATGGGCCCACGACAAAAACTTGGCAGTTTCCACACTGCTAAATGTTTGGCTAGTTAATGAAGGCCCAAAAATGCAGGGGCATGAAACACCATGCAAAAATGTGGCAAGTATATGTGATTTAAATGTGGCAAGTAGTTCACACATTCCATGGGCCAATGGCTCGGGCGAAAGGGAAAACCACCAAGCTGTTGCACGCTGCTATGCACTTGCCACTCCATGGTCCTGAAAAAGGATCTGATGAGTTTCTGCCTTTGGCTAGGAGATGCTCTAAAATTGACAGAGTTTCTGGTGGTTTATGCTCTCCTTGAAGGTTTTGTCGCCTCTAAGTGCTCAGAGCGCGGTAATTTTTTCAAACGCCTCTATGTTTCGACAGCGTCAGGAAGTGATGGCCACCGTTCCTCGCAGGCTGAAGTTGATGGCAAAATCCTAGCATTTCGCGTGGGCCTAATGAAGTATGTAAGCCTACGACAAGAGACTTGCTTGGAACACACAACCCACTGACAAAGCAATGTTCCTAGGCTCCTCGGTGTCTCCGGCGGATCACTGCCATCTCAGCGCAATGGGGAGCCCGTGTAGTCGAAGCTTGTGTCGCTGCCGTAACCTAACAAAGGGTTGCCGTCAGCTGTGGTGGGGTGCATATGCACCCCTCAATCTGCGCCTTGTTTGCCACGCAAACGTTTTCTGGGCGGTGGTGGTTCTGGTGAATAAGAAGGTGCAGGAGCACCAGGGCATATTTTTATCATCCACTTTTTCAAATAAGGTCTTGTAACAGTTTTGGCGCAATAGGAACAAGTGGGTGGATGTAAAGTGGATATGTAATGCATCTGCTTGACGGCTGCTTCACGATTATGTGCATCAACAAGTTTTTGCAATTCTTCAGTGTTAGTTTGGGATAATTTTGCTGCACGGGTTAAAGAACCTTTCTTATCCACCTTATCGGTTAATGCGTGGCATGGTGTCTGGGCGAATTTCAATGCATGATATGTATGAACTGTCTTGGAGCAGAACTGACACACTGGCTGTTCAAAATTGACAACAAAATGGCGTTTTTCAAATTTTGCTGTGGAATTGAGTTGATTCAGTTGTTCTGTAAGCTGCTGATGGAACTTGTTAGTGCGCTTTTCCCCACGCGTGGGCGCCTTTTGTCCTGCTTCAATATCTTGAAAAAATGCGCGAACTTGCTTGGCAGCTTCAATTTCAGTATCGAATGGTCCGAACGAATGACGTTTTCCCAGGTGTGGGATGATGGCTTTATATGTTTGGCTCTTTGTATGAAATTGAACATGCTGATACTGCGACGATCCAGGTCTAGAAGAGGTTGAATACAAAAAACCTTCAGGACTATGTGTAGGGCGAGATTGACTGGTGTTATGTGACTGTGCTGGGTGAGTCTTATGGGATGTGGGATTCTCACCTCCTTTTTTCTGATTCGTATCTGTAGGTTTGATGAAGGGCGAATAATCAAAATCATCTGGCGGGTCAGGAATTATTGCTTCATTACGTGCTTTGATGATGTCAACCATGGTGTGCTGAATATCACACGCAAAGTTGCAATGATGCGGTAATGGCGTTTCGGTGTCATGTCCATTTAACACACGAGCATGATTATCAACCATCTGCTGAAGCTGTTCGGGCGTTTGGAGAAAGAGACCTGTTCTCTGGGTGCATAGTGGCAATTGCAAGCATTGGTCAATTTGGCTTTGAGTCAAACGATTCATACGTTGAGTATGCCAGGCTGGGCATCTCCAAAATAAATGGTCTAGTGTTTCTGGTTCGTGCCAGCAGTACAGACATACTGGAGTGTTTCTGGTTCGTGCCAGCAGTACGGACATACTGGATGTGGTGCCTGAGCAGTGACATATTTATGTTTTTGCGTTGAGATTCCGTCACTGAGAATTGCTCGCAATATGCCTTCGTCATAGGGAGTGAGGACTCGAGAGTTGAGCAATTGGACAGTAGTGAACTTATCTGATACCTTTTAAAGTCTTCCGAGAGGCAGCAGCACGGTTCCACAAAACTCGCGCAATGGCATATCTTACAAGGTGTAAAAAATATTGATGTGGAATTGTCAGAATTGGCACACTGATCTGAAGATGCTCACTAATTTTGGCAACAATAGTGAACGGTTCTACCCATTTCCAATCTAAATGTAGACATGCTACATGGAACATGGAAAGTGGGCCAACCATGTTTGATTTGCCATTCTTATATTGAGCACGTGCTTCAATACTATCATGCCAAATTTGCTCCCATTGGTAACGGATGTTTGGGTGTTTGGCCAGCTGTCGGCATGCTGTTTGAAAAGGCGCATACCACTTCAACTGTGCCGGATCGATCAAATGGCCTTTGTGACAAATTGTGAGCAAAATGTCATTGCTTTTGTGGGAACCTTTGCTCCACAATGCTCGACATATGGCGGATCGCAACTTTCTTTCGATGTGAACTGAGCAGGGACCCATCTCTAAAGCGTAACAGTACTTGGGTGCTCCGGCAGTGGCGAGAAGCGTTTCTTCTTTGGCTGCAATATTTAATGGGCAAATACTGATTCTTTGGGCAACTGCCATGTAACTAACAGCTCGTTTGTCAGCCAATTCACGCGAACGTCTTTTGGTGAAAGATAGGCTAGCCCCCAGGAGTTTGTCATCGAGACTTTGTGGAAATTCGAAATTTTGCAATTTTTGTCTAGCCAATCTGGTAGTTGTAAAAACCGTAGTTTTGTCTGAATTAATAACAGCATCGATGGCTTGGTCAAATTTTTTGGTGATATGAACAGCGTTTGTGAAATGTTCGGAGGATGTGGAACGCAAATTCTTATCATCAATAAAAGCGCTGGCCCTACAGTAGGATGTAGTAGAATGATTGCTAATAACCTGTATCCACGCCGTAATCATTGCATTTATGCGAATGATTGCTAACGGGCATCCTTGGCAAATGGAATTGGTGTTTGGAAACGAGGGTCCAATAGAATTTCCAAGTTTAAATCTTCGCTGAATGGATTGGTTATAAGCAAACATGGTATTTAGGATGGCCGGTGGCATTCCAAGATCTATAAGAACACCGCGCTCAATTTGCCAACATATGTTGTCAAAACATTTTGCATAATCATATAATATTCCGTATAAGGGATGGTTTGTATATGAAGATTGCTCGATGTCAAGAGCCACAGCAAAGTAGGAGTCCAATGTTTGTCTGTTGGTAATACCACCATGAAGTTCTTTAGGAACCCATTGGAGGTGCCATGGTTGTAAGTGTACCCACGGTATCTCTGCCCACATCCTGTAGATGTGAGAAGTCAAGGAGATGGGTCTAACTTGCAGTGGTGTGTCACCTTTGCCTTTCTTCAGAGTAGTGACTGGCACCTCTAGTAGATTTGCCGGCCACTTGGCAGCGCGTTCAATGGTCTGATATAGCATGGCTAATTTGTCTAAAGAAATCATTCCAAGGATTTGGAGCTCTTCTACTTTCCATCCATCAATTCCTGGGAGGAAGGCTTCATTTGTGCTATGACTTCGGCAATCATGGATGCAGTAATGTCAGGTACCTCAAAAGGATTGGCGTCATGGTATTGATGATTTGGCAAAAAGGCTTCAGGAAATTGTCTGCAAAACTCATCATAGCAAGGCGGCGTTGTGTCCACATAGCGGTTGAAAATAGGACTCCAAGCGTCAAGCATCATTTGGTGCAGTTCTTTATGCTTAGTAGCATATTCGTTAGGACCACCTTTAAAACACGGAGTCATATATGGATCATGATCTTTAAGCCATGCATACGTTTGTCTGTGGGAAGTATTCCAATCCTGTATGAGTTTTTCCTTAAAGGTGGCAAGGCGTTGTTCGCAAACTTGTTGTTGTTCTTCTAGCGATAGGCACAAACTCACGTTATGGGAATCATATACTTGAATTGGAAATGGAATTTGAGGCAGGAGTCGGCACCAACTAGTTCTAACGTTATACTTCAGAGATACTAACTGGCTATGAGCTGCAGGGCTTCGAGCTGAATCATGCCGAACCTTGGCAGCCAACTGGTTAATTCTCCGCTGTAATTTCAACAAGGACGATATGCGATGTGTGGCCGCACCAGTTTCCATCTGAGCTGGTGCAGCTTGAACTGGCTGTTGAATCACTTTGGGAGGACGTCCTCTGCTTTCGGAATATGGTATGACCTTGGCTTTTCGAAGTCTGAATGAGAATTTGTTCAGCAGTCTGAGTCCAAATATTGAACGCTTGGTCAACGTCATGATTCTGTATGGCCACATAAAAATCGTAGTTATGTGTAGACCAACATTCCTTTTCAATGCGTTCCTGATCAATAATGTTCAATTGGCTACGATCGATTTGAATCCTGAGAGGTGTTCTGCATACAAATTTCGAATCGAGGTGTTCAGGAAAATCAAGATCAATGCGTAATGGACAATGTCCAGGTAAAGCAGTGTCGCGCAAAACTGTCATTTTCTGCACATGTGTTAACATGACGCGATTGCAAATGGCAAGATCAATCCTGGAACGGATGTTGGTATCGGCACCTTTTTGATAGGTCCAATCGGAGTCAAACAAACTGCCAACGTCGATGATTTCATTAGATCCGCAAAGAGCGCCTAACACAGGAGATAAATCAGGATTAGTGTTAAAGTCTCCAACGAGGATCCATGGGACATCACCTAATTTTGCAGCGGCTTCAAAAACGGATGTTAGCAACTGTTCATTCAATCTTAGTGCTTCAGGATTACGACTGCCAGCACCAACATGGCCATAAATATTAAAGATGTGAAATCCTCTCCGTCCACATCCACTTGGGACCCAGGTCTGTGTGCATCGGCCGGTGGTAAATGGATATTCCGAAGATTGAATTTCATGAATCGGCAGCGGTTTTTTACTAATAGTGGCAAGGCCACCAGATCTTGCATTCCATAATGAAATATTTTTCTGTGATCCGGAAAACTTGAAGTCTGAAGGTCTGCCAAACAAAACATTGTACTGAGTATTGGACAGTTTTTTGGCCATAGAATTCTGTCCATGTCGGTTCAGAGTAGTCTCTTGCAAGCAAAAAATGGAGCTGTTTAGACTTGCTACAATATCCCAATTTTTCCGTAATGAGGTGACATTGGCGGAAGTGATTGAAATGTTTGGGCCATCTGAAATTTCATCGGATGAAAACTGGGATCCCAAATGTAATAACATAATGTACAAAACTTTGGGAATCAATCCAAGCCATAAAATTCTGAATCGTCGTGAGGTGCTCAGGTCTCCTTGTTTTGCTTGCCTGGTGGTGTTTCACCGGTCTTGGCTGGCGCAGGTCGTTTTCCAGATTCATTTTTCGCAGGTGATACCGGGATAGCAGCTTCTTCACGCTTGGGTCGTAATGATCTCAACCAAGATGCTTTCTGTTGCCCAAAATTAGTTGCCGTAGCAGCAGCACTGCTAGAGGCTTGGCTCTTTGCTTTTTTGTTTGCTTCAATTTGAGAATTTCTGGCTGATAAGCTCAAAGCTTTGAATCGCATCTGCTGACTTTCACCATCGACTTCGTAAAACATAGGTGTGAGATTTCCCACAGTGCTGGCTGTGAAGACACAGTGGCGCTCACCAAAATATAAGACCGAGTCAATGACCCACTGACGGTCTTCTAATAGGGTGATCACACCTGCAGACCCAAGAATGGGCGACAAACCATCCAAGCGCCAGCGACTTTGTGACGCTGAGTTGGAAAGGGCATATTGCTCAGCAAATGTTTGCAGGTCTTGCATGGAACTGAAGCGCAGGGCGTATTTTGGTTTCTGTTTGGCATTTTTTGCGACAAGGCCTAGCACTTTGTCTGATTCAGCATATTGCAAAGCTTGTTCATGACTGACATCATCCGGTAACCAAAGAAGCTCGAACTGATAACCGGCTTCGGAACTGCTGTGGATTTTGAAAAAGACACCTTCACGGCCACTGGTTTTCATCAGCTGTGTCACGAAACTTTCATGAATCATGAAAGTTGCACTAAGGTCCTCACGACATTGGACTTGTTCCACAGCACGAATGTCAACTCTGTTGGATAGCAAATCAGTAATGGTGGAACCTTTGACAGAATCATTGCTCCAGCCGAAAAAACGTGGTAGTTTGGTAACACATTTCAACCATTGATTTTGGCAGCGTTACCTGATCTCCAACAATCGTTTGAGATACTTCGGCTCCAAAACCGACTTGAATCAGAAAACGCTTGACTGTGACTTCTTTGATCTCGGCTTCACTAGTGCGAACCTGAATTCGGACATATACCTCACGACAGTTGTACCCATTCAAGTGGAGTTGTGACGCACTTTGGGTTGTAAGAATTCCAATTGGATGTCTTGAATATCCAATGTTTCTTAACACTTGTGCCAGCATTGATTTGGGTACGAGAGCAACCCCAGGTTGTGCGTGCATGTCATGTGGAAAGCGAACCGGTACATCCCAGTCATCGGGATACAGCTGCGGCTGCATACGCTGAATCGCAGCATCTGGTAAGGAATTGCGGATTTCCTCTTGGAAGGAGAGCTCTTCTTGTTCAGCATTGGTTTTTCCCTTTGTCTGTTTCCCTTTTCCATACCCTTTGCGCACAGAGTTGTGGAATTGGGGCACCATATTGCCATTCATGGAATGAACAAACTTATTGCGTTTGATCATGGTTACAAACCATGAGTAGCTGACCTCAGAAAAGCTGCGAGCTATTGATCTAGATACTCGAAAAGAGGCGGGGTAACGAATCATGCTCCCTGAAATATCGGTTGGCTGAATCTTGGCAGGACAACAATTGAACGGTGCAGCGATGGCACACCAAATGTTTAACATGAAGAGTGTGCAAAACAAAAGCTTGGAAACTGTGCTGTTGCTTTGCCGGGTATTGTGGCACTTCTTTGGTAACCTATACCGGCGACCTCCAACGATTCTACTTCGTAGAAGTTTGCGAGGCTTGGCTTTGTATGCACTGGTCACATCACAAATCCAATGGGCAACATGCAACGGAAACTGGTGAGAAAGATGGTGAAACAAAATGACACAGACGACCCACAAGCCAAAAGGCAAGGCATCAAATGACATGGGTTGCTCCGACCCTGTGACCGACATGGCGTGCGCTGCAGAACGGCAGTAGGAGATAAGCAACAGTAGCAGTTGTGCACTAAAACTTACAGCTGTAAGGATTGCGTGGTTGACACATTGCGAACACTGACTCATCACCCCCTTCGACCTCACCCTCGGAATGTTCGCTGTCGAAGAGGAGTGCACCACCGAGTCACACGATGATGCGGATGCCGAGGATGGGGAGTCCGTGTAGTTGGCCCAGTCTCCCCAAGCACTGCCGGTCAAGCCAATTTCGCTGCAAACCACTGTTGAATGATGGGCAAAGATCTCAGACTCGTCTCAAAGTGAAACAAGAGATTGATTTCTGTGCAACCTAAAGTAAACGAAGAAACCTAATCACAAATAGTACAAAAATGCCGTAAGATTTAAGATGATAACACATCAGTGGTTGGTGCGTGGTTGCACAGCATGTTGAAAAAATGAGAAGCGTCCTCTGAACACGAAGTACTACTCCAATGGTTCCCCAACGGAGGATACGGAAGACTGCCTTGGCCGAATCACTGTCGGACTCACCCGTTCAAAATCCTTGACCCTGTTGGTCTCCCCGTTAGACATGATGGGGCTTATGGGCATGGCGCAGGTGGTCGCGACCATAGCATATGGCATCCGGGGCCTTCGAAGAGGAGAGACGACATGGGAATGGCCTGACTTCGATGCCAACCCAGAACAGGAGAATCTTGCACAGATGAGTAGATGGTCGCTTAATTCAACACCCGCATGGGAATTCCCTCCCCTCGCAATCGCCAACCAATACCAGGACCAGCAAACCAACGAGGTGAAGCGAGCGAGATACTGTCTGATATTAGTTCGAGGGTCAGATCTTAGCTGGCTGAACAGAGATCGCCTCCAAGAAGTCAAGACAGGCCTAGCAGCTCAACATAAATGGATTCCTGTTCAGAATCTCCCTTTCCCGGAATTTGTCCTGTATGCCTATGCGGCTGATCGCACACCCTTTCCCACATATGTATGCCTGCCTTCAGGATTGTACAAGGCGCGTACTGGGCAAGTTGTGGCGCAGACCGGCCCAGACCAGGAAATCCTGCCTTTGCCAGGTATCTACTTCTTTGGTGGATGGCGGGTACACCCAATGCTACCAATCCCCGGCCACCTGCCACGCACTAAAGAGGCGCCAGTCCAAGCTATCGCTCTGACTGCACCTGCACCTGGTACAGAACCTACTCGGTCGCCGGAAGAAGAAGCGAGAGACATCCTGGCGACAGCTGCTAAGAATCAGGCCGAAGATGGGCCAAATACAAGGAGGGCAGCAGTCCGCGCATGCAAGTACTTAAGGGCTATGGTCAACCAATATGAATCCACCATACAAGAAGTGCACAATGCGGCCCGCATCCACACACAAATGATTTTTCCCGAGAGCGCCTGCGAAGGGTTCTTCGTAAAAAAGCAGCCGTTATACTAGATCTTCACACCTTCACACCTGCAGATCTAGATCTTCACACCTTCACACCTGCAGATCTAGATCTTCACACCTTCACACCTGTAGATCTAGATCTTCACACCTTCACACCTGCAGATCTAGATCTTCACACTCTCACATCTGCCGATCTACATCTTCACACCTTCACATCTGCTGATCTACATCTTCACACCTTCACACCTGCAGATCTAGATCTTCACATCCTCATATCTGCAGATCTAGATCTTCACCCTCACACCTGCAGATCTAGATCTTCACACCCTCACACCTGCAGATCTAGATCTTCACACCTTCACATCCGCAGATCTATATCTTCACACCCTCACATCTGCCGATCTAGATCTTCACACCTTCACATCTGCAGATCTAGATCTTCACACCCTCACATCTGCAGATCTAGATCTTCATACCCTCACACCTGCAGATCTAGATCTTCACACCCTCACACCTGCAGATCTAGATCTTCACACCCTCACACCTGCAGATCTAGATCTTCACATCCTCACACCTGCAGATCTAGATCTTCACACCCTCACATCTGCAGATCTACATCATCACACCCTCACACCTGCAGATCTAGATCTTCACACCGTCACACCTGCAGATCTAGATCTTCACACCTTCACATCCGAAGATCTCCTCTCGCTCTTCTTCTATTCTCTCTTAAGGCGGGGGCGGTGCCGCCGGAGCGCCACGAAACGCAACCCTTTCGCACGAAATGGACGTTGGACGTCCAAAACCTAAGTAAAATTGCGATTTTGAAGCGTCCCGCGCAACTCTTTCGCACGAAATGGACGTTGGACGTCAAAAACTGAAGAAAAATTGCGACTTTGAGGTGTCCCGCGCAACCCTTACGCACGAAATGGACGTTGGACGTCAAAAACTGAGGAAAAACTGCAACTTTTATTGGTCGCGCGCAACCCTTTCGCACGAAATGGACGTTGGACGTCAAAAACTGAGGAAAAATTGCAACTTTTGTTGGTCGCGCGCAACCCTTACGCACGAAATGGACGTTGGACGTCAAAAACTGAAGAAAAATTGCGACTTTGAGGTGTCAATCGCAACCCTTACGCACGAAATGGACGTTGGACGTCAAAAACTGAGGAAAAATTGCGACTTTGAGGTGTCAATCGCAACCCTTACGCACGAAATGGACGTTGGACGTCAAAAACTGAGGAAAAATTGCGATTTTACTTGGTCAATCGTAACCCTTTCGCACGAAATGGACGTTGGACGTCAAAAACTGAGGAAAAATTGCGATGGACGCTTTCGTTTCTGTACAAGTGTCTGTGTGTAAAAGCGTCTGTGTGTAAAAGCGTTTGTGTGTGAAAGCGTAATGAAAACCTAAAAGTAGCACTAACAACCTTTTCTACCACCGTTGCACTAGTAAGCCAAAAGGGCTGGGGTGAAACCACTACAAACCAACTAGCCTAGCTCAAGCCCTTACCTGTACATGTTGAATGGGACCTCAGATCTAGACACGCCTCCCGAGTGTGGAAGCACAGCTTGCATACGAGTACAGACTGAGGTGTATCCCATCAGACACGGCTCAAGCCCTTTCAGAGCGTGGAGCGAAACGAATCTACACACGCAAAGCCAAAGGATGACTTCCAGACTTGAACTCGAAAGACATGAGATCGAGGAGTTGCTTGATTCTTGGCCCTTCAGATGCTTTAGTCATGAGGTCAGCCCACATTTCCTGAGTGCTCCTCTTGCGCAAACTGATCTTGCCTTCCTGCACGCAGTCTTGGATCCAAAGGAAGGATGTGTCAATGTGCTTGACCCGCCCAAGACCACGACGACTACCTATGGCAATGCCGCTGGTAGCATCCATGTTGATCACGAGCGGGCAGCAGATGCCCCAGTCCTTCAGCATGGACTGTTCTCCTAGACCGTGAGAGGCAGAGCTGATAAGACCATAGAACTCCGCTTCGGCGCTGGACAGTGCTATCAGAGCTTGCCCCTTGCAACGGGCATCAACGCATGAGCTGCCCAAAGCGATCACAGTGCCGCTGGTCGATTTCCGACTACGGATGCACCCGGCATGGTCGCTGTCGGACCAGACTGTGAGTTCGGTGATCTTGTCCTGGTTGTTGAACTTCTGCACTAGTCGTCCATGACCACTCAAGTACCTCCCTATTCTTTTGAGGAGAGACCAGTGATGACAAGTAGGATGTTGCAAGCCTTTAGCCAGCTCTCGTGTGGATCGCAAAAGATCTGGCCTGTCTGAAGCCAAATACCCAATGCGCATCGCAATGGATCTGTAGCGGCTAGCGTCCTGATCAGACAGCGGAGTCTCATCAACTTCTTCAGAAGCTTTGGCTTTCAGCAAAGGTGTAGTGACAGGGACACTGCCTTTGAGACCCGGGTCTGTCACGATCAGTTCTACGTGCCGTGGGTCGGCCTCAAGTTCAATGCAGGTATCCGACCACGTGATCAAGCGGTTCAAGA